TCTCAGGCTCTCGACGCTCAGTCAGGGACTGTGTCACCGCAGTGTAAGGAGCAGGAGCAGGCAGTGGGGAGTGCGGTAGCAGTGGCGGCTGAGACTGGTCGACCGGTGGAAACAGTAACGGAGGAGTAGTACCTGCCACAGGGAAGTCAGTAGCACCTGGCGGAAGACTGAGAAGGTGGCGAAGAGCACCAGCAGCTCCCGCACCTCCAGCACGAGCAGCTCCACCTGCACTCCCAGCAGCACCTCCAGCACCAGTAGCACCAGCACCTCCAGCACCACTAGCTCCGGCAGCTCCAGCACCTCTAGCACCAGCAGTACCTCCAGCACCTCCAGTGCCAGCAGCTCCAGTAGCACCTCCAGCACCTCCAGCACCAGTAGCACCACCTGCTCCGGCAGCTCCAGCACCTCTGGTACGAGTACCTCCAGGACCCGCAGCTCCAGCACCTCCAGTACCTCCAGCTTCAGCTCCAGCGCCTCCAGCACCAGTAGAACCTCCAGCACCTCTAGTGCCAGCAGCTCCAGTGGCACCTCCAGCACCTCCAGCACCAGCAGTACCACCTGCTCCGGCAGCTCCAGCACCTCTAGTACGAGCACCTCCAGGACCAGCAGCTCCAGCACCTCCAGTACCTCCAGCTCCAGCGCCTCCAGCACCAGCAGCACCAGCACCTCCAGTGCCAGCAGCTCCAGTAGCACCTCCAGCACCTCCAGCACCAGCAGTACCACCTGCTCCGGTAGCTCCAGCACCTCTAGTACGAGCACCTCCAGGACCAGTAGCTCCAGTACCTCCAGTGCCTCCAGCTCCAGCGCCTCCAGCACCAGCAACTCCAGCACCTCCAGGGTCAGCAACTCCAGTAGCACCTCCAGTACGAGCAGCACCACCAGCTCCGGCAGCTCCAGCACCTCGAGTACGAGCACCTCCAGGACCAGCAGCTCCCGCAGCTCCAGCACCAGTAGCACCAGCACCTCCAGTGCCAGCAGCTCCAGTACCCGCAGTACCTCCAGCACCAGTAGCTCCAGTACCTCCAGCTCCAGTACCTCCAGCACCAGCAGCACCTCCAGAACTAGCAGCTCCAGTACCTCCAGCAGCAGCAGCAGCTCCAGTACCTCCAGCAGTACCTCCAGGTTTAGCAGCTCCAGTACCTCCAGCACCAACAGCACCTCTAGCACCTCCAGCAGTACCTCCAGCACCTCCAGCACCTCTAGGACTAGTAGCTCCAGCACCAGCAGGACTGTTCCCTCCACCACCAGGACTGCCTCGCCGAACGACCCATGCACGAATCGCCTGCGGCGAGAGTGTCTCAAGTAGAGCAGGCTGCGGTGGCTGTCCAGCTCCAGCACCTCCAGTAGTGGTAGCTCTAGCACCTCCAGCACCAGAAGCACCTCTAGTACCTCCAGCTCCAAGACCTCCAACAGGGTCACCCACAACTCCACCGCCACTAGGACTCGCAGCACCCCCAGCGTCAGTACCCCCAGTCGCAGTACCCCCAGAACCAGCACCCCCAGGTACAGCACCTCCAGAACCCTCACCCTCTGTCTCAGCACGTGTAGTCTCAGCTCCAGAGTCCACAGCAGCAGGCTGCGGAGGGGGCGAAGACGGTCGAGGCGGAAAACCCGGGGGGTTCTCCAAGCGAGGAGAGCGGCGAGCGGCCGCCGTGTCGTCCGCAACTGGGTCACCCCCCTCAGCTGGGCCAGAGGAGTCAGAGGAGATCTCCACTGGCTCATCCAAGGGGGGTGGGTCGACCTGAGACACACCTGAGGGAGCAGGACCTTGTGGGGGGAGGGGGTCTACCGGGGGGGGGACTGGTACCAGGAAGAGGGGTGCAAGGGGGACCGGGTGGGACGCGTGCGGGTGCAGCTGGTAGAAGCAGACATACTCGTCAAAGGTGACGTCCTTGGAGGCGAAGACTCGACGCGAGGGCGGGTGGTAGAACTGCCACGGCGGGGCGTTAGTGGGGAAGCCAAGGAAAACGCAGCGGAGAGTGTGTGAGGAGAGCTTGCTCGCTTTGGCATCGCGAACAAGGGAGAGCGCGCCCCAGACCCGAAACACTGACGCATCACCAGCCTTCCCCGTCCACCTGAGGGTGGGCGAGGTCTCTGGCACAGAGACACGGGGCCAGAGGTTGAGCTGATGCGCAGCGTATCGGACCGCAAACGGCCATAGAAAATGGGGAGCAGCCGCATGGATCATGGAGGTGCGAGCAACCTCCATGATCAAGCCAATGCGACGCTCAGCAATCCCATTCTGCTGAGGAAAGGCCGGAAGCGTGAAAGTCTGGCGGATGCCCTCGTCTCGACAGAACCCCGCAAGGAGGTCAGAGGAGAACTTACCGCCCCTGTCGGAGTGCAGACGCAAGACAGGGAAGTCCTGCTCAAACCGCTCGTGCAGTTGGAGACGAGTAGCACGGATCCAGGGGATACGGACACCGCTGATATCCGCCTTGCGACGCAAGGGGAAGACAGTGGTGTAGCGTATGTAGTCGTCAACAACCAGAAGGACGTAGTGCTCGCGGTCCGTTCCACCGATGGGGGCCGGGCCCCACACATCCATGTGGAGAGTCTGCAGAGGAGCAGTGGTCGAAGGAAACTCGGAGGAGTGAGGAGCGGCGCGCTGCCGCCCCTCGACGCAAGGAAGGCACGGCGGGGCAAGCGAGCGCGGCAGGGGGGGCAGGGTCCTGGGGAGGCCAGAGACAAGGAGACGGGAGTGCATGCCGCGTAGACGCGGCAGGGAGGGGTGACCAAGACGGTGGTGCCAGCGCTGAGTCTTGTACGTGAGTACTCTGCACGAGCAAGACGCAGCTAACTGTCCCGACGCAGACGCCCGACTCGACGCGGCCACCTGACCTGACTCAGCCACCTGTGCAGACGCAGTGGTCAGTGTGTACAGACTAGACCCAGGCTGTCGAGTGAACGTAGCCAGGTGACGGCCAGTCCGGGAGCACGTACAGATCGCCATACGCTGCCCTCCAGGAATAAAGGTATCAACCCAGACATCCTGAATGGCAGCGTTGCTCACCAAGTTCGTCGAGAACGTGGGGAGGTGGAGACCTGACAGAGAGCCGGAGGGGACTGCTGGACAAGGGAGGACCGTGGAGGCTCTTGCAACTACTGGGCCCCCAGAGGGGTCAGCCAGTGAGACTGGGACAGGTGCTGTGAGTGGTGTGACTGTGGTGCAATCACGAAAGAAGCAACGTGACGCGCCTGAGTCAAGCGTGAAAGTGTGCAAGACCTCAGCTGAGGCAGGACCTGTGGCAGTAGACGCACTAGCACCTAGAGCGTCGGTAGACTCACGGGCACCTAGAGCTGCAGCAGACTCACTAGTACCTGGAGCGGCAGCATCTCACTAGCACCTAGGGAGGCAGCAGACTCACTAGAACCGAGAGGAGGAACCTCTACACAGCCAGGGATGCATCGCTGAGAAGCACAGTCGCGACGTCGCTTAGGCCACTTAAAACCATAACCTCCACCACCAGGCCTACCTCGCTGAACAACCCACTCACGAAGCTGCTGAGGGGTGGGGTCGTCCGGGAGAGGCAGTGCCCGCTGCTGTCCACCCCTGGCCGCAGCAACTGCCGCGATAGTGGCCATGACAGACAGCGACGGTCAGGAGTAGGTCCAGCACCTCCAGCTCCTCCAGCACCAGAAGCACCTCCACCAGCAGCAGCAGTAGTAGCAGCAGAAGGGCGGCTCGGTGGGGCTGGGCGGCCGCACCTCCTGCACTCCCAGCAGCACCTCCACCAGCAGTAGCAGTAGCAGGAATAGCAGCAGCAGCAGCAGTAGCAGCAGCAGGGTTTATGGTTGCGCGCGGGCTGCAGGGGCGACGCGCGGCTCGGCAGGGCGGCGCACGGGCTGTAGGGGCGGCGAACGGCTCGGCAGGGCGGCGCCCAGGCTGCAGGGGCGACGCTCGGCTCAGCAGGGCGGCGCGCGGGCAGCAGGGGCAGCGCCCACGGGCTGCAGGGGCGACGCTCGGCTCGGCAGGGCGGCGTACGGGCTGCAGGGGCAGCGCCCACGGGCTGCAGGGGCAACGCGCGGCTCGGCAGGGCGGCGCGCGGGCTGCAAGGGCAGCGCCCACGGGCTGCAGGGGCGAACGCGTGGGCTGCAGGGGCAGCACGCGGGCCACAGGGGCAGGCACGGCTGCAGGGGCAGCACGGTCGCAGGGGCGAGTACGGCTGCAGGGGCAGCGCGGTCGCAGGGGCGAGCACTGCTGCAGGGGCAGCGCGGTCGCAGGGGCGAGCACGGCTGCAGGGGCAGCGCGGTCGCAGGGGCAGCGCGCGGGCTGCAAGGGCAGCGCGCCTGCAGGGGCAGCTTAGGAAGAAAAAATTTGCGGGTAGGGCAGGGCGGAACGTTCGGTGGGCCCTAGGAACGATTCTGCTCTAATACCATGAAATAATATGCAGGCAGGAATGGTGGACTAGGTAGCATGCATGAGTACAAGTACCTAACCCTAAAGTGTTGTACCCCTTGTAGGCTAACCCACTATAGCCTAGAGAGAACACAAACATACAGTTTGACAGGGGGGGGGGTACGGTACTCGCTTCAGGGTAAAACTCGTTATGAAAAACGGTAACCCTGAGGCATCAGTGTGCCTTAAAGCGACGGTGCACATTTGCCAAGCGGAGGTTCAGAAGTTTTTGTTTTGAACTAGCCTTGCCAGCGCGAAAGTGTTGGCTTGCGGAAACCTGGATTTCGTGCGGACACTTTTCCTCCGCAGTAACAGTTCGCCAGGGTTTAGGGTTTCGGGTGGCAAATGTGCACCGTCGCTTTAAATGTAAACCCTGGCATATCAGGAAAATCCTAGCTCCACAAAAAATTACCCTAGCCATCAGTGTGACTACCAAAAACCACCCTGATAATCAGGGTATCAGGGTGATTTACACTGATAAAATTAGCCCTTCTGGAGTCCAAGAGACAATCTAGAGTGAAGCTACCTACCGGTACCTGGCACCACTATTGCGAATGTCACAGTCTAAATGTCACATAGGTATAAAGAAAGTGGCTTCAGTTCATGCCCCGAATGCTGTCAGCTCCACTGCCAGGAGAGCATCAGCAGCAGCTGTGGGCCCCACAGCTGTCACCGGCACCACGATTGGGCACGGCGCCACTGCCACAGCAGCAGCAGCAGCAGCAGCAGCAGAAGGGCCATGATGGTGGCTTGGAGCAGGTGTCTCATTGGAGGGTTGGGATTGCGTTCGGTTGTGCAGGGTCTTGGAGAGATGAGCCTTGAGGGCGAGTGACAGGGCAGGGATGGGGATGGGCCCTCCCACAGGAACATACGCACGAAGCATCTGTGGGGTTGACGAGGGGGTTCGAGGAGGGAGGGGAGTGACGAGGGCAAGAAGAGCAGCATGTGATTTTCTTTCCTGGAATGGCAGCAGCCCACATGTACAGTAACCAGAAAGAACATTAGGGAGAGGGGAGTAAAGATATGTGGTTGAAGATTGCAGTAATGGGGAAGGCGGCCGTGGTTGCCAGTCAAGGGGCTGAGTGCCGACAAGGTTTCGGGTTTAGGGTGATTCCCAAACCAGAGCTACAACTGCTCTGCTGGTGATGGTGCAGGCATCAAAGTGGACGTGCAGTAGGAGAGAAAGGGAGAGGAGAGGAGAGGAGAGCAGAGGAGAGAAGAGGAGAGGAGAGGAGAGGAGAGGAGAGGAGAGAAGGAGAGAGGAGGAGTGATGGCAGGAGTGATGGCAGGAGTGATGGCTATGGGGTGGCTATGGGGTGGATATGAGGTTGGTGCAAGGGAGATATGGTAGTGGTTGCGTGCCATGTCATTACTGTCCTCTTGCTCACTATGATAAAATGCCCTCCATCTACCAACATGACTTGACATGGCACGACACGTCACGCCATGGCATGGCATGACATGACATGACATGACACGACACAGCATGATATGACATAACCAAGCCACGTTGATTGCACCACGTCCAGACATGGCACGGAAGCACACATGCATGGAAGCATACAACCAGCATACACGAGGGAAGCGGAGATGCGAAACCTCACCGCAACATCGGGCCAATCAAGGCGTGCCACGCGGAGGGCATCTGACAGCATGCTGACACATCCGCCTGCAACCCCATCGACAAAGCTGTCAGCGAGTGACTCCCTGGCCTGCCCCTCCCCACCTGCACTACCCGCTGCCTCCACCCCATGTGCAAGAGAGTGATGCGCTTCACACTCTCTCCCTTGTTCTGCCTCTGTCTCCTCCCCCCTCGCCTGCTCCACCCACAGGTGCACGCGACAGAAAGCACCCGCTGCTGCGGTGGCTTGCCCAGCAATGCTCACCCCCTCTGCCCTTCCCCCCACAGCCACTCTCCCCTGCATCTCCCCCTCGTCTCCCTCACTCCTCCCCGCTGCTCCCTCTGCCATACTGTCTGTGACCTCTGCCCCTCTCTGCCTGCCTTCCTCTGCCATATCACCCAAAATTCTGTCAACCTCCTTTGCCCCCGTCTCTTTGTCTGCCGCGGCTGACTCGACCCCTTCTTTCTCTTCACCCAAGCTCATCCCTGCCAGCTGATTTCCTAGAACTGACGTGTGGCCGTCTGTGTTTGACACGTGGCAAGGTGCTGACGTGGATGGGAGGTGCAGGGGGGTGAGGGAACTCGGCCACGGGGCAGCTGAGGTGGCAGAAGAGTAGGAGAGAAATGGGGCTGCGAGGAGAGGAGCAATCTCAACAGATGCCCTGAGGGAAAGGGAACGGGGGAAGGGGGATGTGGGGAAGCGGGATGGGGGTAAGGGGGATGGGGAAAGAGGGGGAGTTGGGCAGAGAGGGGAACAGATGAAGGGACAGTGGAGAGTGATTGAGAAGCAAGGGGAGGCGAAAGGAGGTGTGGTAACAGTCACACCAAGAGAAAATGGGATGGGGAATGGGAAGGGAATGGGGAATGGGGAATGGCAGATGGGGAATGGGGAATGGGGAACGGCAGATGGGGAATGGGAAATGGGGAAGGGAATGGGATGGGGAAAGAAACGCAGGGGAGGAGGAGACACGGGCAGGAGATATACGGGTGGGGAGAGGAGGAAGAAGACGGACAGGGGTGTGTGGAGGAAGAAGGAGGGCAGGGAAAGGGAAGTGGCGGGAGAGAGGACGGAACAAACGGAAGTGGATAGGGTTGGAGAGAACGGAATGGGTAGTGGAAGAATAAGAGAGAGTGCGGGCGAATGAGATTGACATATGATAAGAGGGAGCCTCAAGGCCGCACACCTACTCCTCATATCATATGAGCACAAACTCCTTTGGGGGATTCGAGGACATGCATTTACCCTGTCGGGAGCCTCACGGCCGCACACCTACCCCTTTGGCAGTCCTCGTACAACCATATACTGCACCAACGGATCTGCGAGGTGACTTTTGAGTCGACTCAAAAGTCACCTCGTTTTGAGTCGACTCAAAAGTCACCTCGTTTTGAGTCGACTCAAAAGTCACCTCGTTTTGAGTCGACTCAAAAGTCACCTCAGTCCTGGTACAACCGCATACTGCAGCAACGGATCTGCTGCAATCACTCCCGCTGACTCCTCCTGCTGCACCACATTCTTACCCCCTGCGTAGTCCCAATTCTCCGAGGCGCTTCAAGCCTCAATGGCACACACTTACCCCTTTGGCAGTCCTGGTACCACCACAAACTGCAGCAGCGCATCTGCTGCTATCACCCCCTCTGACCCCTCCTGCTCCTGCTGCAGCACATACTTACACCCTGGGCAGTCCCAATACTCTGAGGCGCCTCACACAGCAAGGGCCCAGCAAGGGCCCAGCAAGGGCACGCACGTACCCTTTAGGCAGTCCTGGTACCACCACAAACTGCAGCCGCGCATCTGCTGCTATCACCCCCTCTGACCCCTGCTCCTCCCTATCTTCCTCATCTCCCTCTCCTCCCTCCTCTTCCTCCTCCTCTTCCTCTCTTCCCTCTCCCTCCCCTGCTACAGCACCACTTGCACCCACCGTGCCATCACCAGCACCAGCAGCTGACTCCTTTCCTTCCTTCTTATCTACTCCCTCCTCCCCTCCATGCCCCACCACCCACCATCGCCCCACACCCCACTCCCCCTCACGTTTCCCCTCCCCTCTTCCTTCAACCTCCCCTTCCCCTCCTCCACCTCCTTTCTCCCCCGTTCCCTCTTCTCCCTGCCCCTCCCCCGTCTCCTCTCTCCTCTTCTTCCCACTTCGCACTGCTGCCCTAATCTCCCTCCTCTCCCTCCGGGCAGCTGCAAAAAACTCCTCAACTGCCCGTGCCACCTCCTTTCTCTCCCCTCCAACCACACCCTGTGCCAGATACACTGTCATTGCAATACAATCCCTACCCACACTCAAACACCCCTTCCGAACCCATCTCTTCCACCCCTCTCCCCCACTCCCTCTCCCGCCACTCCCTCCCCCTCTATTTTCTCCCTCCCAACGCCTCTCCTCCTCGCTCTCGCCCCCGCCTCTCCCCCACCCAACAGCCCCATCCCTCCCCTTCACCACAGCAGCAACAGCCTCACAGCTCCTCAGCGCCCTCTCCGCCTGTCTCCTCGCCCCCCCCTCCACCAGCTCCATGATTGGGGGGTCCAGACCCAGTTGCCCCGCCATCCACAGGACTCCCTTGAAGCTCGTGCTCTGGAGGAGGGAGAAGACGGCGAGAGGGGCGATGGAGCGGGAAGAGGGGAAGGGTGAGAAGAATATTCTACATGGTTACAGCTCCTCAGCGCCCTGCCTGCCTCTCTGTCTGCTTGTCTCCTCGCCCCTCCCTCCACCAGCTCCATCCATGATTGGGGGGTGCAGACCCAGTTGCCCCGCCATCCACAGCACCCCCTTGAAGCTCGTGCTCTGGGGGGAAACGAAAGGGGCGGAGGGGGAAGGCGAGAGAAGAGAGGAAATATGTTCTCTCATGTTAGCAGCTTCTCAGCGCCCTCTCTGCCTGTCTCCTCGCCCCTCCCACCACCAGGTCCATGATTGGCGGGTACAGACCCAATTGCCCCGCCATCCACAGGACTCCCTTGAAGCTCGTGCTCTGGAAGAGAGAAGAAAAGGGGAAGGGGGAACATTGACGACTTTTGAGGCACCTCAAAAATGAAGCTCGTGCACTGGACGAGAGAAGAAAAGCGGGAAATGGGGGACATTGACTCATCATAGCTACTCAGCGCCCTCTCTGCCTGCTGCGTCGCCCCTCCCCCCACCAGCTCCATAAAGGGCGGGTCCAGACCCAATTGCCCCGCCATCCACAGCACTCCCTTGAAGCTCGTGCTCTGGGGGAGAGGAGGGAGGGGGAAAAAGGCGGAAGGGGGAGCAAAGATATCTCTTTCTCGCAGCTCCTCAGCGCCCTCTCTGCCTGTCTCCTCGCCCCTCCCCCCACCAGCTCCATGATTGGCGGGTCCAGACCCAATTGCCCCGCCATCCACAGGACTCCGCCTTGTGGCTCGTGCTCTGGAGAAGGGAGGGAGAGGGAGGAATGGGGGAGGGGAAGGAGGGAGGGAGGTGCATGCACACACTTTTGAGATGCGTCAAAAGGAGGGGACTCAGAAAAGGGGTGAAGGGTGGGTGGGAGGTTCACCGTTCATGCACGCACCTGGCTGTAAGGGCCGATGCAGGAGGGTGCCCAGCAAGAGAACCCCTTCACATTTGGGGAAAGAGGGGGAGACGAGGGAAGAGAGAGGAGGAAGGAGGGAGGTTGGACCCACACGCACCTGGCTGTAGGGGCCGATGCACGAGGGTGCCCAGCAAGAGACTCCCTTCACATGCACCACATGCTTCTCCCCTCGCTGTCTCACTCCCCCATCCTGCTGCTGCTCCTGCCGCCCCTGTCCCCCCTGCTGCTCCTCCGTCTCCTCTCCACCACTCCCTCCTCCTTCCTCTTCTCTGCCTCCCACATTACCGGCTCTCCCCCCCCATGCCAGCACATCAACTGCAACACCGCATCCCTTCCGAGAACCTTCCGTGCTGCTTCCACCGCTGCCGCCCAATGATGAGGCGCCAAGTGGCAGCTCTACAGTGGACCGCGACGGCACGCCGTCCACGCACTCGGCTTCGGTGATGTGGCGCACGTACGCTGAGTTGGCGGCGCCGAACTGCGCCATGTCAGCGAGGTACAGGTGGACGTAGAGGGCGTGCGCCCAGGAGAGGGAGAGCGAGTGGAGGGTGTGGGAGATGGAGGAGAGGGCGATGGAAAGATGGGAGGCCAGGTCTGTGTGGGGGAGGGGGGGACATGAGGGAGAAGAGGGAGAGGACGAACGGGGCAGAGGATAAGACGCCATTAATTGGTGGACGCTTTAAGCCTCTCGTGAAGAAACAGGTTCAGGGTGGGGGTGAGGACGAGCGTAGAGGGCATGGGCGTAGAAACAGCTTGAGCGTAGAGGGCTCAAGCTGGTAGACAGCTCAAGCTGGTAGACAGCTCAAGCTGGTAGACAGCTCAAGCTGGTAGACAGCTCAAGCTGGTAGACAGCTCAAGCTGGTAGACAGCTCAAGCTGGTAGACAGCTCAAGCTGGTAGACAGCTCAAGCTGGTAGACAGCTCAAGCTGGTAGACAGCTCAAGCTGGTAGACAGCTCAAGCTGGTAGACAGCTCAAGCTGGTAGACAGCTCAAGCTGGTAGACAGCTCAAGCTGGTAGACAGCTCAAGCTGGTAGACAGCTCAAGCTGGTAGACAGCTCAGGGGACGGATAGCAGCGGGGAATGGCTGGGTGTGAATGTGGGCATGAGTGCAGTGCCTGGTGCGTGCAGTTACCTTCAGTACCATCCATCTTTGGCACCCTCACTATCATGCTTATCCTCAGCAGCATCACCCCTACCCTCTGCATCGTGCCCCTGTGTGTCGCATGCAATGAATGCAAACCCATGCCATTGCACTGCCACTGGCACCTGCACCACATCCCCTCCCCTCCCCTCCCCTGCCTGCTGCCCCGTCCGTCACCTTGAAGCTTCATATTGCAGTCATCCTTACCCTCTGCATCGTGCCCCTGTGTGTTGCATGCTATGAGAGCAAACCCATGCCGCTGCACTGTCACCGCCACCTGCACCCCATATGCCCCCCTGCCTGCTGCCCCGTCCGTCACCTTGAAGCTTCATATTGTTAGAATTGAACTGATAGGATAATCTAACACATATTGCAGTCATCCTTACCCTCTGTGTCACCACCCTTACCCTCTGCATCGTGGCCCTGTGTGTCACATGCTATGAGCGCAAACCCATGCCATTGCACTACTACTGGCACCTTATCAGGCGCCTAAAGAATGGACTCACCATGTGCATTGTGCCCCTGTGTGTCGCATGCTACGTGGGCAAATCCATGCCGCTGCACTCTCACCGCCACCTGCACCCCATCCAACCCCCTGTTTCCCTCTCCCGCTGCTGCCCCTGTTCCGGTTGTAGCCCCCCCTGCTGCTCCCACTGTGGTGCCAGTGCTGTCCTCGCTAAGAGCATCCTCGTCATTGGCATCAATAATCACCGGAGAAGGGAGAGCCACGTCAGCAGCATCAGCAGGAGCTGCAGCCCCATCCTGGGTCTTGGGTGCCACGTGGAAGGCTGTGATTCGCAGCACGCCCACAGGTGCAACAGGGTCTGGCGAGTGTAAGATGATGTGAGAGGAGTCCACCACTATGCGCGCATGCTGGTGGTGTGAGAAGGGGGGGGAGAGATGGGGGATGGGGGGAATGGGATAGGAGGGGAATGGGATGGGAGTGGGGTGGGGGGGGGGATGAGGGATTGTAAGATCTGTCCACCACTATGCGCGCGCGCATGTAAGATCTGTCCACCACTATGCGCGCGCGCATGTAAGATCTGTCCACCACTATGTGCGCGCGCATGTAAGATCTGTCCACCACTATGCGCGCGCGCATGTAAGATCTGTCCACCACTATGCGCGCGCGCATGCTGGTGGTATGAGGGACGGAGGGGATGGGGAATGGGGAATGGGGGATGAGGTGGAGCGGGGAAGATGGGATGGGGAGGGGTGGGGGTGAGGGGGGATTGGGGGAATGTGAGAGCTGTCCACCACTAAGCGTGCATGCTGGTGGTGTGCTGCGGCGGGTGTGGGTGGAGGGAGGGACGGCCGGCGGCAGGGGGATGTGAAGAGAGGAAGAGGAAGGATGTGCTTTGCTGTACTATGCAGACATGCCCACAGGGGCAACTGGGTCTTTGAGAATTCTCAAAAACCTGCCCACAGGGGCAGCTGGGTCTGGCGAGTGTAGGATGATGTGAAACCACTATGCGCGCATGCTGGTAGGGTGATGGGTCGTGTTCTGAGTCGACTCAAAACACGCATGCTGGTGGGGTGATGGGTCGTGTTCTGAGTCGACTCAAAACACGCATGCTGGTGGGGTGATGGGTCGTGTTCTGAGTAGACTCAAAACACGCATGCTGGTGGGGTGATGGGTCGTGTTCTGAGTCGACTCAAAACACGCATGCTGGTGGGGTGATGGGGGGGTTGTTGGGGAAAGGTGGCTGGCAGGGGGATGTGAAGAGAGGAAGTGGAAGGCAGTGCTTCACCCCACTGGCTGGCTCCCACGCCCACAGGGATGACCGGGTCTGGCGAGTGCAGCATGATGTGAGAGCTGCCCACCACTATGCGCGCATGCTGCATGCATGTTGGGGGAATGGGTGGGAGGGAGGGAGGGCAGGGATGTGAAGAGAGGAAGAGTTAGGCTGTGTTGCACTGCACTGGCTGGCTGGCGCCCACACCCACGGGGTCTGGCGAGTGTAGGATGATGTGAGAGCTGTCCACCACTATACGCGCTCGCTGTGTGCACGGATGCGAAGAGAAGTGACTTTTGAGTCGACTCAAAAGCCACCACTATGCGCGCTCGCTGTGTGCACGGATGCGAAGAGAAGTGACTTTTGAGTCGACTCAAAAGCCACCACTATGCGCGCTCGCTGTGTGCACGGATGCGAAGAGAAGTGACTTTTGAGTCGACTCAAAAGCCACCACTATGCGCGCTCGCTGTGTGCACGGATGCGAAGAGAAGTGACTTTTGAGTCGACTCAAAAGCCACCACTATGCGCGCTCGCTGTGTGCACGGATGCGAAGAGAAGTGACTTTTGAGTCGACTCAAAAGCCACCACTATGCGCGCTCGCTGTGTGCACGGATGCGAAGAGAAGTGACTTTTGAGTCGACTCAAAAGCCACCACTATGCGCGCTCGCTGTGTGCACGGATGCGAAGAGAATGACTTTTGAGTCGACTCAAAAGCCACCACTATGCACGCTCGCTGTGTGCACGGATGCGAAGAGAAGTGACTTTTGAGTCGACTCAAAAGCCACCACTATGCGCGCTCGCTGTGTGCACGGATGCGAAGAGAAGTGACTTTTGAGTCGACTCAAAAGCCACCACTATGCGCGCTCGCTGTGTGCACGGATGCGAAGAGAAGTGACTTTTGAGTCGACTCAAAAGCCACCACTATGCGCGCTCGCTGTGTGCACGGATGCGAAGAGAATGACTTTTGAGTCGACTCAAAAGCCACCACTATGCGCGCTCGCTGTATGCACGGATGCGAAGAGAAGTGACTTTTGAGTCGACTCAAAAGCCACCACTATGCGCGCTCGCTGTGTGCACGGATGCGAAGAGCAGAGAGGAAGTGGGGAAGAGGAAGTCATTTTTTTTTCCTGCAAAATGCAATCATGCCCCGTTTTCTCTCTTCTCTTCACCCACAGGAGGGTTGGGCGAGAACAGCATGATGTGCACGGTGGCTACCTCTATGCGCTCTTGCTGGTGATGTAGGGGGGGGATGGGTGGTAAGGGATGGAAGGGGGTGGAGTGGGATGTGGGGGGATACGAGAGGTGTCTACCTCTACAGTTGCTGCTTGTTAGGGATCGAAGGTAACATCAACGTCCCTCGCTTGATGAAAGAACGAGTGCTGGGCAAGGCAGGTGGAAAACATGAGGGGTCACCTGGGGCGACGGAAATGAGCGTGGGCAAGGGAATGGGCACGGGCCCCATTGTTGAAGCAGCAGGGTCGGCATCAGTATATCCCCACCCGTATATCCCCTGCCCGTGTCTCCTCCTCCCCTGCGTTTCTTTCCCCATCTGCCATTCCCCATTCCCCATCTGCCATTCCCCATTCCCCATTCCCTTCCCATTCCCCATCCCATTTTCTCTTGGTGTGACTGTTACCACACCTCCTTTCGCCTCCCCTTGCTTCTCAATCACTCTCCACTGTCCCTTCATCTGTTCCCCTCTCTGCCCAACTCCCCCTCTTTCCCCATCCCCCTTACCCCCATCCCGCTTCCCCACATCCCCCTTCCCCCGTTCCCTTTCCCTCAGGGCTGCTGTTGAGATTGCTCCTCTCCTCGCAGCCCCATTTGTCTCCTACTCTTCAGCACTTCCGTCGACTCAGAAGCAGACTCATTACACGTGGTTTTGGGTCGACTCAGAAGCAGACTCATTACACGTGGTTTTGGGTCGACTCAAAAGCAGACAAGGGATTCCTGTTAACAAGGGGAGTACCTTGAACAGAGGGCAGTCGAGGGTGAGTGTTTCGTACTCCCCGCCCTCCCCACACACGTTCACTCCGAACTTGCTGGGAAGGACGGCGCACGGGAGAATGGGAAGAGGTATGGTTGTGTGTAGAAGCAGGGGAGCGCATGCTAGTGGTGGGATAACACACACACATGCACGCACGCACGCACGCACGCGCACGCGCACGCGCACAACCACGCGCACGCGCACACGCACGCACGCACGCACGCACGCACGCACGCACGCACGCACGCACGCACGCACGCACGCACGCACGCACGCACGCACTCGCACGCACGCACTCACAGACATGCTTCCGTCCTCTCTCACCCAGCCAGGGCATACATGGTGTCTTGCACCTCCTCCAACCGCTCCCCCAGATTGCTCTCTGAGATGAGAATACACCCACTGCACATGCTAATGCAATACCATTCCCCCCGCAATTCCTCCCCCCCCACACACACGATCTCACAAGCAATATGCTTCTTATCTCCCCTCACCCTACCAACCTATGCATGGTGCCTCGGATCTCCTCCAACCTCTTCCCCAGATGCTTCTAAAAAGAGAAACTCCTACTGCACATGCTTCTGTGCTAACATGCCCACACACACGCGCTCTCACCCTGCTAGCGCATGCATGGTGCCTCGGATCTCCTCCAACCGCATCCCCAGATGCTTCTCTGGTCGCAGGCCCAGAGCCGCCACCTTGATGAGAATAGCGTGGATGCCCGCTGCAATCTGGTGGGGGGGGGACACAGAGAAAGGAGAAACAGGAGGACCTTTGAAGATAGAACTGCTGCAACTTGGTGGTGGTGAGGCGACTATGTGTGTGTGCCCATCAAAGACCGCAGGCCCAGAGCCGTGGACGACATCTGATGGGCCCAGAGCTGCATTGGACGACCTCTGATGGGCCGAGAGCTGCTACTCTGATGAGACTGACGTGGACGCCCGATGAAATCTTGTGGGGGGAAACATGAGGGGTGGAGTGGAGGAAAACATGGTGACGCAAATAGCCCCCAACCAGCAGCCACTCTGATAAGAACAGCATGGATGCCCGATGCAATCACCACACCACGCCCCACTCCACCTTACCCCACTCCAACCCAACCCACCCTACCAGCTCATCATATCATCCAGCAACGCTTTCTTCCCTGCGGTCTTCAGACATATTCCCAGCGAGCTCCAGACTTAACTAGGCTTAACTTTCTTTTGCTTATGCCACAGGTAGGCCAGGGAGGTGAGTGGGTTGCAGTCTCACACTCAATCACACCATACTACACTTCCACATCACGCCACCCTACAGCCTCACCATGTCGTCTAGCAGTGCTTTCTGCGGTCGCTGCCACAGGTAGGCGAGAGGGGTGAGGCCCAGCCTCGAGCACACGTGCTCCACCCGCTCCCTCTGATAGTCCGATGCTATTTCTCCCACCGACACGCCCTGCACGGCTGACAGTTGATGGGGAGGAGAAGAGATGAGATGAGGGAGAGAGGAATGGGGGGAAAGGAGGGGGGCGGAGTAAGGAAGTACCAGCCTCGAGCACACGTGCTCCACCCGCTCCCCCTGATAGTCCGATGCCATCGCCCCCACCGACACGCCCTGCACGGCTGTGATGTGAGTATGGATGGAAATGGGATGAACAGAAGGGATGGGCGGAAGAGGAGGAGAAGAGGAATGAGGCCCAGGCCCCAGTCTCAAGCACGCGTGCTCCACTTGCTCCCGCTGATAGTCCGATGCTATTGCTCCCACTGACACGCCCTGCACAGCTGTGGTGTGGAAGGGAGACGAAGGAGTGGAGGAGAGTGGGTGGGGGGCAATCTAGAGCAGCTTGCACGCGTGGAGTGTGGGAGGGACGCTAGAGGAACCGAATGCCCAGTTTTCACCTGGCAGGTGCTTGCAACAAATTATTTCAACCTGGTAGGTGCTCGCAAAAAATGATTTCTACCCGGCAGGTGCTTGCAACAGATGATTTCTACCTGGCAGGTGTTTCTTCACAACCCTGAGCAGCACCTCCATGTCCTCCACCTCGTCCCCGGCTGTGGTGCTGTACCGCATGGCCAGATGCCTGGCAGAGGCAGGTTGGTATGTGGGCGAGGGAATAAGGGCGGGGTAAGGATGGGATGAGTGGGATGAGTGGCTTGAGAAAGACAAAGGAAGGCGATGAAAGCCTTTGTCCTACACCTCGTCCCCTGCCGTGGGGCGGTACCTAATTGCAAGATGCCATGGCGGGTGGGGTAAGAGTGGGTTTAGTGCAGTTGAGGGTGACAACGAGGGAAGGTAAAGCACATTGCCTCCATATCGTTACACCTCGTCCCCTGCCGTGCTGCTGTACCACTCGGCCAGATGCGTGGCAGGCAGGTTAGTGCTTGGGGGGGTGAGGTTGGGGCGAGAGAGAGTGGCTGTCCGCACCCTCGTCCTGTGGTGTACCGCGGCATCTCTTGAGGCTGGACTGGATGCAGGGAAGGACGGGAGGAGAAGGGTGTGGCAGGCAGGGCGAGCGCACTTGGATGAGAGGCATAAGGGAGGAATGAGAAGTAGTGAGGAAGGGACAGGCGAACGCACTTGGAGGAGCGTTGGATGCAGCACCAGCAGAGACAGAGGGAAGGGGTTGAGAGGGAAGGAATGGGTGAGAGATCATGCTTGGATGAGATGAGAGGGAAGATAGGGGGTGAGAGGGAGGGGAGCGAAGGAGAGGGAGAGCGCGTGAGAGGGAGGAGGGGATGGGCGAGCATACTTGGAGGAGCCTTTGATGCGGCGGCGGAAGAGAGGCAGCCCCATGCACGAGGCGTATGCTGCAATCACCTGATGGCCCACCTGATACCAACAGAGGGGAGCAGGCAGGCATGGTGGGATACAGGGAGGGGAGGGGGAGGGAGGGGTTGGTAGGAGTTGAGACAACTCAAAAGGCGTGTGCCCCAAACACCTGATCGACCACCTGAAACCAGCAAACAGGTGAGTCGTGGTGCAATGGGGGGGGGGAAGTGGGCGTGAGGAGGGTATGGTGCAGCGAGGGAGAGCAACGAGTTGCATGCGGCTTGTGTGACGGCGTGGCACGAATGGGTAGCTTTGGAGTGCCAGTGCAACTTCCGTTTGTGGCCGTGCCTGTGCATATGCATGTGTGAGGTGCACTGCATGCATCACAGCGGGAGCATGCACCATACACGGGTATGCACAAGTGAAAAGACCCTGAATCTCTAGTCGGCTGCGGTGCTGACTTGTTGTTGGAGTAAAGAATGCAACTTACGGTTTGGAACATGAAACTGCAACGTACAGTTTGGAACATGAAACTGTCCAGCTCGTCCGTTTCATCATCTGATGGCAGTAGATTCGCCAACGCCACCACCTGTTGCCATGCCATGCCATCCCATCCCATCACACTCCATGCAATCCCATTCCATCGCATGTCATGCGATCATACCCCATGCCATCCCATTCCATCGCATGTCATGCGATCATACCCCATGCCATCCCATTCCATCGCATGTCATGCGATCATACCCCATGCCATCCCATTCCATCGCTGCGATCATACCCCATGCCATCCCATTCCATCGCATGTCATGCGATCATACCCCATGCCATCCCATTCCATCGCATGTCATGCGATCATACCCCATGCCATCCCATTCCATCGCATGTCATGCGATCATACCCCATGCCATCCCATTCCATCGCATGTCATGCGATCATACCTCATGCCATGCCATGCCACGCCACGCCACGCCACACCATCCCATCCCATACCATGCCATTCCATGCGACAAGATCGAGCATGTAGAATGAATCTCGAGATTATAATTAGAACCACAAGGAAAAGTCGGGGGTTCAGGGTCGAGGGTTTGGGTTGAAGCTTCAGAGTAGCAACTTGAAGGGTTCGGGTTGTAAGTCTAGCTTGGCATGTCCCTATCCCTGATTGTGATTGTGGGGGGATAATAGCGGAATGTGGGGTAGGGAGAGGCAGGGCAAACTCCGAAACGCCTCTGGACGAGGAATCTGATGCGAAGGAACGTGGGGTTTGTGCACCCCAATAGTGCAGGTAAGGTTACAGTGATCATGGCGAGGCGTGACAATATGGTGGGATGGGGATGGCATGTTAATGCACCGTCCTTTCGCCGCCTCTCCGTTATCCCGTCTCTATATCGCGTACGCCACGCACCTCATGTCCATACCGCGTACACTCCATCATGTTGAAACAGCTGTCCTTTCCCCCGCTCACTAACGCCACCACCTTCATCGCGGCAAGCCAATAGCGGGGATGAAAAGGACTAAGAGGCTAAATAAAGCTTCAATCAAGCGAGCTTTGTCTCGACTGTCGACTCGGATCTCACGAAGCCCTGACTCTAGGTTCTAGCTAAAGTGATGGAATAGAGTTCGCGCGTATTTGCGTGCAAAACAAGCTGCAGATCAGATCCGGTAACATGTCAGTTACATGTCACTAATATCTCGCTCCCGCACGTGGAGTTGGATAAGCGATGGGAGGGAAAAATGAGCCATACTTGTAAAATGGGTCAGGCTGATTCAATAGATGTGACGGTGTGTCACCTTCGACAGGCAGAGGGGTCGACTCGTCAAGTGAAACAATTTCTGACACGACAGTGGACATTACTGTCAAACCTTCTGACACGCCCCCTGAACTGGTGTCGAGCCGCCTCTGAAGTGATTCAGAGATCTCGATTTGTTTGCCGCAATTCGTCACTGTTCCGCTCAGATTACGAAACTGACAGCAACTTCAGTCGTAGTTTAGCCCACATACCAACTTCAATTTCAGATTTGAAAGCAGCTTCAGAATGAAACGAGGTTGCCAAATACCGTTTGCTGCAGATGGAGAGGCAAATATCGGTCCAATGCGGTAAATGGAGCTTTGCTCCACTCGAAACTGGTTCTACCAACCTTCAAGTTGATCTGTGAAACTAGTATCGTAAATCCCAATGTCGCAAATCCACATGCGATGCGATCTCATCGACCTATCTAGATGCTAGCTGTCTGGCAGTTACGTCTCATTGTCGCCGTCAACCTCCGTCATCGTCCGACTCTCCTTCTCCGTCGCTGATAATCGCACGACCATCTGTGATCATATTTTAGTCCAGCGAGGTGAAATTCGATTCTCCTTGCTCGCTGTTCACGCTGCCTGCCACTCCCTACGCGCTGCGCGCTGCTTCCCGCGCCCTGCGCGCTCCGACTGTCGCCGTGCGCCATGAGCGTTCCGCCGATGAGTGCCGCGGCGGTGGCGGCGTTTGGCGGGAAGCTGCTGGAGGAGCCGCGGCGGCGGGGAATCGAGATCGGCGGGTGGCTCATCGAGTGCCGCCACGAACCGATTCTCACCGCTGAAGAGACGGAAGCGTGAGTCGCGGGAGTATAATTCTCCTTTCACACGTAAGCCCAAGATCCGCGGGCAACGCATCAAATCCCAACGCCCATACACCCCCTGGACGAAACCTGTAGCCCATTTCAGGGGAAAGACCCCTTGGGCCGATTCCAGTGTCCGCTCCCAACACCTTTCAATGTGAACATAGAGTGCCGCGGATACGCGGATTCGCAATCAACGCATACAGGGCCAACACCAGCCAATTCCGATTTCAGAAAAAAAAACAGCAGCTCGAATAGTTGCTGGGTTTTACCCCTCTTCGCCTCCCCCCTCCCCAGCTCCCACCTCCCCACTCCCCTTCCTCCACCGCCTTCCCACCCAACCCTCCCATTTCCCCGTCTCCCCCAGGTGGCAGGCGGCTCTCTCCTCGCAGTGCCTCCCCGAGATGGTCTTTGGGCGGAGCTTCCTGCGCGCGGAGCACGAGAGCACGCACGCGGGTGTGCGGTTGGGACGTCACCCATACGTCCACCACATTGACCCTACCAAACCCCTTCAGACCCCTCCCTCCGACACCCCCTAACTCTCCCAGGTGGCAAGCCGCTCTCTCCTCGCAGTGGCTTCCCGAGACGAGATGGTGTTTGGGAAGAGTTGCCTGCGCGCGGAGCACCTGGGCACGGGCGTGGGGTGCAGTTGGGGGCGCTGGACCTCCGCTTTCCTCCCTCACACGCGCCTTTCCCAAACCCCCCCCCGTCCCCCTTCTCCCAGGTGGCAAAAGGCCCTTCCCTCGCAGTGGCTTCCGGAGATGGTGTTTGGGAAGAGCTGCCTGCGCGCGGAACACCTTGCCACGGGCGTGGGCGTGCAGTTGGGGGCGCTGGAGGCGCTGAGGGGGTGGAAGGAAGCACGGCTGCCGCCTGTGAAAGTGCCTGCTGCTGCCGCGTGGGGGAAGAGAAGGTGAGTGGGTCTATGGGGTATATTGGGTGCCCGCGCGCGGAGCACCTAGGCACGGGCGTGGGCGTGCAGCTGGGGGCGCTGGAGGCGCTGAGGGGGTGGAAGGAGGCGAAGCTTCCGCCTGTGAAGGTGCCTGCTGCTGCCGCATGGGGGAAAAGAAGGTGAGGGGTGGGTGGGGGAGAGGTGTTAGGGAGGGGCCGGTGTTTAAGCACAAGTAAGGGGGGTTATGGAGGGATGGTAAGGTGTCATGTCAAGTGGTGAGGGGGTGGAAGGCGGGGGGCTGCCTCCTGTGAAAGTGCCTGCTGCTGCTGCATGGGGGAAGAGAACGTGAGGGGGAGGGTTGGGGGGAGAGGGGCCAGTGTATGAACGCAAGTAAAGGGGGGTATGGAGAAATGGAAGGGTGGGAGACGCTGAAGGGGTGGGAGGGGAGGGCTCCGCCTGTGAAAGTGCCTGCTGCTGCCGTATGGGGCAAGAGAAGGTGAGTGGAGTGTCGGCAAGAGGAGGTGAGGGGGGTGAGAGGAGGGGGAGGTGAGGGGGGGTATGGGAGCGAATGGAAAGGGAGGGATTGTGGGGAAGGAAGGTAGGTGTACTGTGATTACACCTTCACCACCCCATACTGTGGCTTACGCCCCTTGCTTTGTGGCTCTGTCCCCTATCCCACCTGATCTCACCCCACCCCACCCCACCCCATCCTCCAGCTGCCCATCAACTGATCTCAATCTCGACTATGACTACACCTTCACCACCCCCTACTGCGGCTTATGCACTTTCCTCGTCCCATGCCTCACCCCACCCATCCATCCCTCCACCTGCCCATCCACGGTCTCTTACTTGATGATGTGCTGTCCTTGTCCCCTGTCTTGTCCCACCCGCCCCCACCCAACCCCATCCCATCCTACCCTGTCCCACTCCACCTCACCCCAACCCACCACACCTCTCCCCACCGTCCCTCCAGCTGCCCATCAACTGATCTCATACTTGATTATGACTACACCTTCACCACGCCCTACTGCGGCTCCATTCTCACGAGTAGCACTGCCAGTGCTTCCCTTTCCCCTGTCACCACACCCCTCGCATCACGTGCTGCTGACATCAGCATCAGCAACGCCGACAGAACCGGGAGCAGCAACAGCAGCGAAGGTCTGGTAGCTGGAGTAGGAGGAGAGGGGGAAGACGGGAAAGGGGCGAGAGTGAGCGCAGAGGGAGCAGAGGGGATGAGGGAGGGAGAGATGGAGGGAGCAGGGGCGGCAGCAGGGGCAGCTGCAGGGGTGGTGAGGGAGGTGCAAACCGTCTGGCCTCAATCCGATGCTGCTGCTGCTGCTGCTGGGGGAGGAGGGGGAGGGGGAGAGGGAGGTAGCGTGGAAAAAAGGAGTGGAAGGACGGATGGGAGAGAGCAGAAGGGGAGTGGGGGAGGAGGGGGAGGAGAAAGGAGGGCAGGGGGGGGAGGGGAGTGGGAGGCGGAGTGGGTGGCGTGTGGGGAGGGCGAGGGCATTGACTGGGCCATGCTGCAGCGCCGCGACCCCATCCTCTTCTCCGATGAGGTACTGATGGTTGGAATGCGGTGATGATGGTTGGGATGCGGTACTGATGGTTGAGGTATGGTGGAAAGTTTGGGTGGAGCGAGGGCAAATTTCGGGCCGTGCTGCAGTGCTGGGACCCCATCCCATCCCATCCCATCCCATCCTGTCCCATCCCATCCCATCCCATCCCATCCTGTCCCATCCCATCCCATCCTGTCCCATCCCATCCCATCCTGTCCCATCCCATCCCATCCTGTCCCATCCCATCCCATCCCATCCCATCCCATCCCATCCCATCCCATCCCATCCCATTCCATCCCATCCCATCCCATCCCATCCCATCCCATCCCATCCCATCCCATCCCATCCCATCCCATCCCATCCCATCCCATCCCATCCCATCCCATCCCATCCCATCCCACCAGGATGTGCTTTATGAGGACGACTTGGCCGACAGTGGCATTAAACTCGACCTCTGGCCACTCCTTCCCCTCCTCCGCACCTCTCCTAACCGCTCTCTATGTCTCCCTCCGGCCAACCTCCCCCCATCCAACTCCCATCCCACCCCACCAGATGCTGTTGTATAAAGGCGAGTTGGCCGACAGTGGCATTTGAGTTGACTCACATGCTCCTTTGTGCACATGCTCGTCCTCACATAGCACCACCTGGTAGCACCACTTTAGAATTGCTGCTCTTCCACTATGAGCGAAGATGGTCCTCACATAGCACCACCTGGTGGGATGGGAGTCAGACACGTGGGGAAGGGGCCGACAGTGGCATTTGAGTCGACTCAAGGGTTCCTTTGCACACTCGCCTTGCCTGATCATATTGTTTCACCCAATCTCACTCACCCCCATCTATCTCCCATCCCACCCCGCCAGGTGGTCCTGTATGAGGACGAGTTGGCCGACAGTGGCATCTCAAAAGGCTCTCTTGCACGTACTCGCCTTGCCTGCTCGTACCACCACACCCAACCCAACCTCCCACCCATCTATCTCCCACCCCACCAGGTGGTCCTGTATGAGGACGAGTTGGCCGACAGTGGCATTTCCCTCCTCACTGCCAGAGCCGTGAGTAGCATCCAACCTTCCCTCCTCCTCCTCCTCCTCCTCCTCCTCCTCCTCCTCCTCCTCCTCCTCCTCCTCCTCCTCCTCCTCCTCCTCATCTAGCAAGACCCACGGGATGCTGTATGAGATGCCCATGCCCGTGTACAATATGAAGGCTGGGCTTTCCTGGGCTGCTCTTGAGGCACTTCTAAAGCCATGGCTAGGGGGCACTTTGTCCCAGACGCTCTGTGTGTTGACTTTTGAGTCGACTCAAAAGTCAGGCGACTTTTGGGTCGAATCAAAAGTAAGGGCGCTTTGTCCCAGATACTATGTGTGAATATGGAGCTAGATTCCACATCATAATTTAAAAGCTACGCTCCCCGTTTTTTGGTCTTGAAGGTACGGTGCATGGCTGTCATCAGCTCGTGCCAATTCATTCTCAGCTCGTGTTGTTTTGTTTATTTTACTGTCAGATAATTACTTGAATCAGAAAGGATACTGAATATGAGTCATCCGCCAGTTGATGCCACAGTATCTCTTTCCCTTACTCTCCTCTCTCCTCTCCTGCAGCGTTGTTTCTTCGCTTGCGTTTCAACCGGTGTCAATGCCCCTGGGAGCAAACGGTCTTGTGATGTCATTATTGTGATGCCAAAATGCTTTTTCATCCTTGAGTCAAACAAAAAAAAACGTTCGCTTTTTCCGTTCTTGCCCACCCTTGTCTGTCCCTGGGAGCAGAGGGTCATGCCAACCTGCTGGTTCATCCTCCTCCGCTTCTGGGTGAGTCTCCCATCTGACGTCACCAACTCTCATCTGACGTCACCATCTCCCATCTGACGTCACCATCTCCCATCTGACGTCACCACCTCTCATCTGACGTCACCAACTCTCATCTGACGTCACCATCTCCCATCTGACGTCACCATCTCCCATCTGACGTCACCACCTCTCATCTGACGTCACCACCTCCCATCTGACGTCACCACCTCCCATCTGACGTCACCACCTCTCATCTGACGTCACCACCTCCCATCTGACGTCACCACCTCCCATCTGACGTCACCACCTCCCATCTGACGTCACCATCTCTCATCTGACGTTATTATCTCCAACACTAAGCCATGTCATTGCAGTGAAGCCATGTCATTGCAGTGAAGCCATCTCATTGCAGTGAAGCCATGTCATTGCAGTGATGCCATGTCATTGCATTGCAGTGATGCCATGTCATTGCAGTGATGCCATGTCATTGCAGTGATGCCATGTCATTGCAGTGATGCCATGTCATTGCAGTGATGCCATGTCATTGCAGTGATGCCATGTCATTGCAGTGATGCCATGTCCCTGCAGTGATGCCATGTCCCTGCAGTGATGCCATGCCCTGTCTCGTCTCTTTCGATACCCATCTCTCCCCCATTCCCCTCAGCTGCCTGTGTAAAGAGCTCTCGTCTGCCTGCGCAACTCTCCACCCCCCTCCTTTGTCTCCCTTCTTGACTCGTCCCTGCTAATGTCCCTTTCACCCGCTCCCCGCCTCCTCCCCTCCCCCCTCCACCCAGCTGCGAGTGGACGGGGCTCTCATGCGCCTGCGCGATTCTCGCTTCTTTTGTGCCTTCAACCGCACGCCTGCTCCCAACACCTCTCTCTCACCGCCATCCACCCTGGCAACGTCAGCTCCCCCCACCCTTTCAACAGCCGCCGCGACAGCAGCCCAAACCGCTGCAGCAGATGCTGTTGCTTCTGTTTCTGCTGCAGCTGCAAGTCCAGACTCGCATCGCACCCAGCAGCAGCAGCAGCAGCAGCAGCAGCAGCAGCAGCAGCAGGAAAAGGAGGAGAAGCGAGATATGGGCCGGGATGGGCAAGATAGAACATCAGACGAGGAGGAGAAGCATGGCATGCCTTTAGTCATTCGAGAGTACACGGAACGAGAGAACACCTTTGCTGCTCTGGCTGCTGTATGTACCTTCGTACCTTGCTCATTCTCCACCACTCCAACCATCTCTTCCGCCTATATTTCCATTTGCAAACCTTCCCATCCCCCTGTGTACTTCACCAGATGTCTGAATACCTTCACTTTCCATCTCTCTCTGTTTCTTTCCTGTTGGCTGTGTACCTCTTCGTCTGTCTGTATACCTTCTCATTTGCTTCAATGCCTTCTCATCCATCTGTATACCTTCTCATGTGTTTGTATACTTTCTCATCCTTCTGTATACCTCGTCATCCCTCTTCTTCCTCCTCCTCTTCCCTGCCTCGTCTGTTCCCTCCTTCCTGCCCCCCAAGCCCAAGTGGCACCCCTCCGCTTCAGCAAAGTGGCTTCTTATGACTCCAAGGCGCTCATTCCCCTCTCCACGCCTGTCAATCTTCGCATTATACCTTCCCCCCCTCTCGCCTCCTCTGCTCCCTCGCTTCTGCTACCTGAGAGAGCAGAAAGGATACCCTCCAACGATATTCCTCCCCGCATCCCCTCTGCTCCCCCCCTGCTGCCTCCCTGCTGTCTTCCTGCTGCTTTCGTCCTGCCACCCTGCTGTTTTTTTGCAGAAGGGGTACCCCTCAGACCCGGCATTCTATTCGGATCCATTCCAAGTCAGCGACAAGCTCTCCATCGTGTGCTCTTGGACAGAGAAATTGCAGACAAAAAGACGTGGGGTACTTCAATATAGCCTACCATGACCATACCTCTTCCCACCACTACGATATTATTACCATAAAAGCTAAAATGGTTAAGTTTTTGTTTTGTTTTGTTTTGTTTTGTTTGTTTTTTTTTTTTTTCCAACATTTGCCAGATTGGCAAATGGTGTTCTCCCTTTTTACATTTTTCCACATAAGGGGTTACTCCGGATTTACTAAATATGCATTGCGTCTGTTGTTTCTCACACTCACTGCACGATAATCCGCTGGCCCTCTCCGTCAAACCCCTCACCACCGACCAAGCCAACACTGTTGTTATGACTGAAGGATCGTCGTAGTGGACATGATAAGTCTGTCAAGTTTGAGAGAAGACAATGAAATCTCTGTAATGACCTTGTCAATAAAGTTGAAAGAAAACAAGATGATTATAAGATCGGAGTACAAGGGTATAAATAGCAATCCTAGCTAACCATGTGTCAAACTGTATGTTTGTGTTCTCTCTAGGCTATAGTGGGTTAGCATACAAGGGGTACAACACTTTAGGGTTAGGTACTTGTACTCATGCATGCTACCTAGTCCATCATTCCTGCCTGCTTATTCTAACATGGTATTAGAGCAGAATCGTTCCTAGGGCCCACCGAACGTTCCGCCCTGCCCTACCCGTAAATTTTTTCTTCCTACGCTGCCCCTGCAGCCGCGCTGCCCTTGCAGCCTGCGCGCTGCCCCTGCGACCGCGCTGCCCCTGCAGCCGTGCTCGCCCCTGCGACCGCGCTGCCCCTGCAGCCGTGCTCGCCCCTGCGACCGCGCTGCCCCTGCAGCCGTACTCGCCCCTGCGACCGTGCTGCCCCTGCAGCCGTGCCTGCCCCTGTGGCCCGCGTGCTGCCCCTGCAGCCCGCGCGTTCGCCCCTGCAGCCCGTGGGCGCTGCCTCTGCAGCCCGCGCGCCGCCCTGCCGAGCCGCGCGTCGCCCCTGCAGCCCGTGGGCGCTGCCCCTGCAGCCCGCGCGCCGCCCTGCCGAGCCGCGCGTCGCCCCTGCAGCCCGTGGGCGCTGCCCCTGCTGCCCGCGCGCCGCCCTGCCGAGCCGAGCGTTGCCCCTGCAGCCTGGGCGCCGCCCTGCCGAGCCGCGCGCCGCCCCTACAGCCCGTACGCCGCCCTACCGAGCCGCGCGTCGCCCCTGCAGCCCGTGGGCGCTGCCCCTGCTGCCCGCGCGCCGCCCTGCCGAGCCGAGCGTCGCCCCTGCAGCCTGGGCGCCGCCCTGCCGAGCCGCGCGCCGCCCCTACAGCCCGCGCGCCGCCCTGCCGAGCCGCGCGTCGCCCCTGCAGCCCGTGGGCGCTGCCCTTGTAGCCCGCGCGCCGCCCTGCCGAGCCGCGCGTCGCCCCTGCAGCCCGTGGGCGCTGCCCTTGTAGCCCGCGCGCCGCCCTGCCGAGCCGCGCGTCGCCCCTGCAGCCCGTGGGCGCTGCCCCTGCAGCCCGCGAGCAACCCTAAACCCTAAAAAAAAAAAAAAAAAAAAAAAAAAAAAAACTACTACTGCTGCTGCTTCTCGTGCTACTGCTGCTACTACTGCTGCTGCTGGTGGAGGTGCTGCTGGGAGTGCTGGAGGTGCTGCTGGTGCTGGAGGAGCTGGAGGTGCTGGACCTACTCCTGACCGTCGTTGTCTGTCATGGCCACTATCGCGGCAGTTGCTGCGGCCAGGGGTGGACACCAGCGGGCACTGCCTCTCCCGGACGACCCCACCCCTCAGCAGCTCCGTGAGTGGGTTGTTCAGCGAGGCAGGCCTGGTGGTGGAGGTTTTGATTTTAAGTGGCCTAAGCGACGTCGCGACTGTGCTTCTCAGCGATGCGTCCCTGGCTGTGTAGAGGTTCCTGCTCTCTGTTCTAGTGAGTCTGCTGCCGCCCCAGGTGCTAGTGAGGCTGCTGCCGCTCCAGGTACTAGTGAGTCTGCTGCAGCTCTAGGTGCCCGTGAGTCTGCCGATGCTCTAGGTGCTAGTGCGTCTACTGCCTCAGGTCCTGCCTCAGCTGAGGTCTTGCACACTTTCACGCTTGACTCAGGCGCGTCACGTTGCTTCTTTCGTGATTGCACCACAGTCACACCACTCACAGCACCTGTCCCAGTCTCACTGGCTGACCCCTCTGGGGGCCCAGTAGTTGCGAGAGCCTCCACGGTCCTCCCTTGTCCAGCAGTCCCCTCCGGCTCTCTGTCAGGTCTCCACCTCCCCACGTTCTCGACGAACTTGGTGAGAAACGCTGCCATTGAGGATGTCTGGGTTGATACCTTTATTCATGGAGGGCAGCGTGTGGCGATCTATACGTGCTCCCGGACTGGCCGTCACCTGGCTACGTTCACTCGACAGCCTGGGTCTAGTCTGTACACACTGACCACTGCGTCTGCACAGGTGGCTGAGTCAGGTCAGGTGGCCGCGTCGAGTCGGGCGTCTGCGTCGGGACAGTTAGCTGCGTCTTGCTCGTGCAGAGTACTCACGCACGAGACTCAGCGCTGGCACCATCGTCTTGGTCACCCCTCCCTGCCGCGTCTACGCAGCATGCACTCCCGTCTCCTTGTCTCTGACCTCCCCAGGACCCTGCCCCCCCTGCCGCGCTCGCTTGCCCCGCCGTGCCTTCCTTGCGTCGAGGGGCGGCAGCGCGCCGCTCCTCAATCCTCCGAGTTTCCTCCGACCACTGCTCCTCTGCAGACTCTCCAGATGGATGTGTGGGGCCCGGCCCCCATCGGTGGAACGGACCGCGAGCACCACTTCCTGCTGGTTGTTAACGACTACACACGCTACACCACTGTCTTCCCCTTGCGTCGCAAGGCGGAAGTCAGCGGTTTCCTGATCCCCTGGATCCGTGCTACTAGTCTCCTGCTGCACGAGCGGTTTCAGCAGGACTTCCCAGTCCTGCGTCTACACTCTGACAGGGGCGGTGAGTTCTCCTCTGACCTCCTTGCGGGGTTCTGTCGAGACGAGGGCATCCGCCAGACTTTCACGCTTCCGGCCTCTCCTCAGTAGAATGGGATTGCTGAGCGTCGCATTGGCTTGATCATGGAGGTTGCTCGCACCTCCATGATCCATGCGACTGCCCCCCATTTTCTGTGGTCGTTTGCGGTCCGATACGCTGCGCATCAGCTCAACCTCTGGCCCCGTGTCTCTGTGCCAGAGACCTCGCCCACCCTCAGGTGGACGGGGAAGGCTGGTGATGCGTCAGTGTTTCGGGTCTGGGGCGCGCTCTCCCTTGTTCGCGATGCCAAAGCGAGCAAGCTCTCCTCTCGCACTCTCCGCTGCGTCTTCCTTGGCTTCCCCACTGACGCCCCGCCGTGGCAGTTCTACCACCCGCGCTCGCGTCGAGTCTTCTCCTCTCAGGACGTCACCTTTACTACCAGTTACACCCGCACGCGTCCCACCCGATTCCCCTAGCACCCCTCTTCCTGGTACCAGTCCACCCCCCGGTAGACCCCCTCCCCCCACAAGGTCCTGCTCCCTCAGGTGTGTCTCAGGTCGACCCACCCCCCTTGGATGAGCCAGTGGAGATCTCTTCTGACTCCTCTGGCCCAGCTGAGGGGGGTGACCCAGTTGCGGACGACAAGGCGGCCACTCGCCGCTCTCCACGCTTGGAGACCCCCCCGGGTTTTCCGCCTCGACCGTCTTCGCCCCCTCCGCAGCCTGATGCTGTGGACTCTGGAGCTGAGACTACACGTGCTGAGACAGAGGGTGAGGGTTCTGGAGGTGCTGTGCCTGTGGGTGCTGGTTTGGGGGTGCTGCGACTTGGGGTGCTGACTCTGGGGGTGCTGCGAGTCCTAGTGGCGGTGGATTTGTGGGTGACCCTGTTGGAGGTCCTGGAGCTGGAGGTACTAGAGGTGCTTCTGGTGCTGGAGGTGCTAGAGCTACCACTACTGGAGGTGCTGGAGCTGGACAGCCACCGCAGCCTGCTCTACTTGAGACACTCTCGCCGCAGGCGATTCGTGCGTGGGTCGTTCGGCGAGGCAGTCCTGGTGGTGGAGGGTACAGTCCTGCTGGTGCTGGAGCTACTAGTCCTAGAGGTGCTGCTGGTGCTGGAGCTACTAGTCCTAGAGGTGCTGGAGGTGCTGGAGGTACTGCTGGAGGCACTAGAGGTGCGGCTGGTACTGGAGGTACTGGAGCTGCTAGTCCTGGAGGTACTGCGGGTACTGGAGCTGCTGGCACTGGAGGTGCTGGTGCTACTGGTGCTGGAGCTGCGGGAGCTGTTGGTCCTGGAGGTGCTCGTACTAGAGGTACTGGAGCTGCCGGAGCTGGTGGTGCTGCTCGTGCTGGAGGTGCTACTGGAGCTGCTGACCCTGGAGGTGCTGGTGTTGCCGGTGCTCGAGGCGCTGGAGCTGGAGGTACTGGAGGTGCTGGAGCTGCTGGTCCTGGAGGTGCTCGTACTAGAGGTGCTGGAGCTGCCGGAGCAGGTGGTACTGCTGGTGCTGGAGGTGCTGGAGGTGCTACTGGAGCTGCTGGCACTGGAGGTGCTGGTGCTGCTGGTGCTGGAGGCGCTGGAGCTGGAGGTACTGGAGGGGCTGGAGCTGCTGGTCCTGGAGGTGCTCGTACTAGAGGTGCTGGAGCTGCCGGAGCAGGTGGTACTGCTGGTGCTGGAGGTGCTGGAGGTGCTACTAGAGCTGCTGGCACTGGAGGTGCTGGAGGTACTGCTGGTGCTGGAGGCGCTGGAGCTGGAGCTGGAGGTACTAGAGGTGCTGGAGCTGCGGGTCCTGGAGGTACTCGTACCGGAGGTGCTGGAGGTACTGCTGGTGCTAGAGGTGCTGGAGCTGCCGGAGCTAGTGGTGCTGGAGGTGCTGGAGGTGCTGGTGCTACTGGTGCTGGAGGTGCTGCTGGGAGTGCACGTGGAGCTGCTCGTACTGGAGGTACGGGAGCTGCTGGTGCTCTTCGCCACCTTCTCAGTCTTCCGCCAGGTGCTACTGACTTCCCTGTGGCAGGTACTACTCCTCCGTTACTGTTTCTACCGGCCGACCAGTCTCAGCCGCCACTGCTACCGCACTCCCCACTGCCTGCTCCTACTCCTTACACGG